AAATATAAATTTTACCAATAAAGTAAAAGTTTAATTGTTTTTTTTCCATTTTTAGACATTTTTCTTCTACTCAATTGAACAGTATTAATAAATTCTCTTTAATGAATGAAATGATCAAAACCAAAATTTTTTTTGATCAATTTTTTTATAATAATTGATAGTATTACAAATGTTATTTGCTTGCATATGTCATTTATCGATGTTTATTTCATTATTCATTACGGTGCATATCTATTACGGTATTACAGTCAAATATGAATTGAATGATAAACTATTCTCTTAAAAGAAAAGAGCAAAAGAAATATATGCATATATATTATTTATTTATCTCTTATTTGGATATATAATATATTTGAGGAGAACGAAAAGGACAGGTGTACGATATGAGAAACAGGTGCTTTTTATAAGTTAAGAGGGAAAAGTAAATGAAATATTCCAATCAACAATTGATGAGAAAGGGAAGGAAAAATGTAAGGTCATTTAAAACCGGTAACTATTTATAAACAAATAATTGGCGCTTTCGTCCTCATCCGTTGGGATATGTTTGTTTAAATTGTCCCATTTGCCTCAAAATGTAATTTGATACTTGATTATCATATAATTGATGATGGTGGCAATGACGATGATGATGATGATGGTGAGATTGATGAGATGATGATGGAGGAAAAAGAAAAGGTGGGAAAAGGAGAAAGGATGATAATTTGATAGTAATGGTGAAACGAGATGATGATGACGATGAGGTCATATCAGGTCATCAACCCCTTTTCTCTTTTCTAATCCATTTGAGAGAACTGTTTATAATTCTAAAAGATTACTGTAATTTTTATTTTTTTTTAAACCGAATTTGCAAAAATTTTTATTAAAGATGAAATGCAATGAACTGCGAAATATTATAAAAATTCTAGTGTATTTGATTTTAACTTTCTTTCTCTGTATCTCTAATAATTTTTTTCATTTCTCTTTTAATTTTTTGGAAATCTTAAAATTTTGAATATTCAATCATATATATTCAAGTGTTTTCTTCCATCTCTTAATTTTTTCAGTCTATTTTAAAAGTAAGCGATTAAATAATCTAAATGCTTTGTATTAAGCCGAAATTTGCATGCATTTACAAATTTTATTGTTTACGGACAAACATTACTGTAACCATAGTATGTTTAACTTTTTTTGTTCCGTTTATTTTTCAGTTAATAGTTAACAATTTTAAATTTGAAAATTGAAATGAATGAAAAAAACATTAAAAAATATTAGTTTTATTTTAATGAATCAAGAAAATTTTTGGTTAATAATTATTTTTCTAATTCGTTCTTACAGGGAATTTTTTTACAACCAAATGGATAAATATGCGAGGAATTATTTAGCCGAAGGGATCAAAAATAAAGATGATATTATCGTTACGCCGGAATCGGAAATTTATAAAAGTCTCAATCAACATTATAATCGTAATAATCATATTCAGGTAAATAATATCAATTAAATCAAAAATATTTTCATTATTTTATTAGAATTATGGAAAAAGATAAGACAAAATTAAAGGAATTTAAATTTTCAAGAAAAGGGATTAATCGAATTTAATTGAACCTATCTGTTCTTAAATAACTTTGTCACTCGAAAGAAAATCTATTAAGTTATAATCAATATTCAATGATAAATTCAGACGTTTTAAATTTATGTGAAATATTTATTAAAAGGTTTTAGCAAAAAAGAAAATTAAACATTATAAGAAAAAGAGAATGTATTTGACTGGCTTCAAATAGTCCAGTTATTAGTTTTAAATTTTTATGAACTTCAATAAAATTTATTAATTTATAGCCACCGGAACGATTATCATTGGTAATACAAGAAACGCTACGTGAATTTTTCTGTGCTGTACAAAGTGGACGTGATGCAGAACCATCCTGGAAGAAAACAATTTATAAAGTCATTAATCGAATGGATGATCCAATTCCGGAATATTTTAAAGATCCTAATTTTCTAGAACGTTTAGAAGGTTAAGGAAGAATTTTTGCTGTCTCTCCCAATTCTTTCTTTGCTATAATTAAAAAGTTTGAGATTGCTTTTCCTTTTTTTTCGAATTATTTGCAAATTTTTTGTATAAATTTGAAAGGATAAGAAATCGAATTAAAATTTTTACTTCTTTGAATTTTACAAAACTGGCCAAACAAAAAAACTCTTTTCTGGGATTTTACCAAGATCATGCATGATTTTCAATTGTGTAATTGAAAATGCATATATTTATTTTAGTTCTAAGCAATAATGATAAATTTTGAAAAATCCATGCCTTCATATTATTAAAATAAAACTTTCGATTAATATTATCCAAAAATTCAAAAATTTTTGAAACTTTTAGGCTACGTAAATTAAAATTTACCATTATCATTTTCATTTTTTTTTGTCCCTGTCCGTTTTTCTCATTCTTTCTTTCATACCAAAAGAGATTTTTCGCCGAAAAAGACATAGTAAAATATTCCCTCATTCTAACTCAAAAATCATTTTCCTAAATCTTCTTAAATTAGTAAATGATTTCGATGCATCTTTGCAAAGTAATTTTATGTGCATGTGTGATGTGAAGATTTTTCAAATGGTAAATGAAAATTTTCAATTAAAATTTCAAATCATCTTTATCATTTCATTTCTAATTGGAATGGAGGATTTTCCGCAAAATAAATTAAACTGTCATAAGTCATTCTTAAAAGGAAGAATAATATAACAGAGCTAATAAAATGGTAGCATTTGTTGGAGGAGCATAAAATGAAATTGACGGATCATCGATTTGCAGTGTAAATTGATTTGTCTCGCTTGATATCGTACATATAAAATGGTAATATTTTCTTTCCCGTCTCTATTTCCTCCTATTCCCCTTTCTTTCATTCATTTCAATTTTTAAGAATTTATTGAAGCGAAGCGAAGCCACCACTTACTTTTATGAAATAAAATGAGATTTTTCGAAATTTTAATTGAAAATTAAAATTTCCTCAACATTTGATGAAAAAATTTATGTTAAAAGGTTTGAATAAATTTTTCAACATTTAAGAATTTGATAATTCTTTCCATATGGCTTTCATTGTTTTTATCTTTTGTTTGTTGTTAAAATTTTTAGATTGGATTAAAAAAAAGATTTTTACTTGATCGAAAAAAAAAACTGCCAATTATTAAGTACATGTAAATATTATTAAGAAGAAAAACATTTTAACTTTACCAAATTTTAATAATAATTATTTCACGAAAGATCAAAAAATTTTAACGTTTAATCTTCATTTGAATGTTATTTATGCAGAAACCTCTTAATTTTTCCATGCTTTTTAGTTTAATTGACATGTAAGAACGTTTAAAATTATCACTTCCGACAAAAGAAAAAACACAATAAAATATTTTACGGTGAATCATTTCCTATTTGATTAATCTTTAAGTGATACTTTTAAAATATCAACAAATAATGAACTGTCATCTGGAATGTCATGCCTGATGATAGTACGATCTCATGCCGGATGTACAACCGTATATGTTTATTTACCTCCGGAAAACGATTCATAGCTATGTTTATTTTCATTTAATTCATCCAGGTTATTAAATCGATTAGTTAAAACAAGGACAATAATAATAGAAATAATAATAAATTAATGACAATATTTCATTAGTTTGTTTGAATTTTCTTTTTTAGACGTAATTTTAAATTATGCTAAATTCATTGCAAATATGTGTATACATAATTATTCCAGTGATTTAGACAAAATTTCATCAATAAGCAATAGAAGGAATACATTTCCCACAAATTACTGCAATTTTTAGTAATTTTAAACTAATAGTTATTAGAAAGTGTATTTTATTATATAAAAGATTTGTTAAATTTTTGAGGTATTTTTTCTCTTTTTTTTAACTTTTTCATTTTATTTCTTTTTTATTTTCGCATTGTTTTTTTTTCAAATATTATGGAACGGCTATCACTTTGTCTGTGATCATTATTTCTTTTCCTCTAATTTTTGATGATTTTTTCCTTTTTTTGAAATAAAGTAAGGTTAGCAATCTCGATTATAATTTACTGACTGATTATTTACATTGTTTTTATGCTTTGCCATTTAATTATTTTAAAATTAAAAAGTTTCATCCATTTCTTATAGATTCCTAGTTTTTTCCTTTTATTTTCCTTCATTTTTTTTGCTTTAACTTTCATTATTATTTAATGATTCCAAAATTTTCAATAATTGTGATTACATTCATTTTATAATTGTATTCATTATTCCCAAAACGCGGTATACACAATTAAATTATGAATGATCAAGACGATGCTATTCAAAATTTTGGTTTCTCTTTCTTTTGCAACTGATTTCTCAAAAAAAAGTTTATCTTCTTTGATATATAAATTAAACAAAGCAAGAAAAATGATAAAAGTAATGTACATTGAAATACAGTAGAAAAAAGTTTGGCTGTGCAATTATTGAATACAGTTTGATTAAATAATGTTGTCTTAAAATTTTTATGAAATTAGGAAGATTGAGGCTTCCAGAAGTTTCTCTTTCTTTTAAATAATCTTTTCATTTTTTCAAAAATTTTTTCTACCTTAAATAATTGATATTTGATTAAAATCACCTCAAAGAACTAAGAATTACGTTTAAAATTGAATAATTCTTTTATATTATTTATTCTCCATTCGCAAGTATTCTAAGTTAGTTTCACAAAAGAGAATCCTCAAATTCCCTTATTTTTGATTGTATTGTTAAATTCATTCCAAATAAAAACAAACACTTCTCAAAACCTACTTTTCACTTGTTCAATTTATGAAAATTTGCACAAATTAAAATAGAATGAAATCGTTAACCCGTTGATGATTCTACTTATTTTTTTCATTTTTTAAATCT